TGTTTAATTTCCTCTGTACTGTTTCCCAAATGTTCTGCATAAAGCTTTGTTACATGCATATTATCTACTCAGTGTATGTAGTTTATTTAACCAAGTTTATATTCAAGTTTGTTTTGCACATAAAGTTGATACAAAGTAAAACAAAACATTGCTGCCTCTTTGTGTCTTATGACAGATACTTCACAGCTATCATTTTATTTAAGCCTCATAATATTTCATAAGTATTATTATCCCATTTTAGATATGAGCTAACTGTAATCAAACTGGTGATATATTTGCCCCATGCCACATCTAGAAGTATCATGGTCTATAAAAACCCAGATCTATTTGACTCTTAAGAGTCTTCCCATTTCCTGTGCTAAACTGAAATTCAATGTCCTCATGATTCTTGAGGCATAGGCTTTGAACTTATACAGAAATTGTTGATGGGCATTACATAACACAATATATTTGTACTTGCAGCTAAGATACCTTATAAGTTCTTACATTGAAGATGTCCTCTGCTCCAACACATAGAAATCAGAGATAAAACAGAAAAAGAGAAATTAGGAAAGAAAACAAAACCAAAAAGCAAACACACTACCATGCTCAGAACCAATATAAACATCTTGGAGGCACAGAAACACCAAAGGTGAGGCCTGCTGGGCTCTCCATCTAGGAAGTTTGCTCCTGCTGGATAACATGGAACAAAAGTCCTCCCAAGAAAACTAAGAGATGGATTCAGTCTCACTGATAAAACTAGGGGCTTCTTCATCTAAGAAAAAAAAGGTTGAAAAATGCTGCAATGACTGCTTCCAGAGCCATGACCTAGGGAGGTAGGGGACAGGTGACACAGCTTCACATCCAGGACTAGGGTCAAGCGGCCAACTAGCTCAGAGTCTGGATCTGCAGTATTTCTTAACTATTTTTTTAACTCAAGTATAGTCAGTTACACTGTGTCAATTTCTGGTGTAGAGCACAATGTCCCAGTCATGCATATACATACGTATATTTGTTTTCATATTCTTCTTCATTAAAGGTATAGAATATAGTTCCCTATGCTATACAGAAGAAACTTGCTTTTTTAAAATCTGCTTTTATATATAGTGGCTAACATTTGCAAATCTCAAACTCGCAAATTTATTCCTTCCCACCCTCTTTCCTCGGTAACCATAAGGTTGTTTACTATGTCTGCAAGTCTCTTTGTTTTATAGATGAGCTCATAGCGTCCTTTTTTTTTTCAGATTCCACATATAAGTGATATCATATGGTATTTTTCTTTTTCTTTCTGTGCAGTATATCTTAATAGCACAGCTAGACAGGCTTAAGCTACCACTGGGAGTCTGTTGCGGGGAAATGGAGGCAACTAAGACATGGAACTATACCAAATCCTGAAGTTATCACTCCATAGAGAAACCAAAATAAAGATATTATCAGTGACACAAAAACTAAAAGATTTTATCAGCTATAAACACTTGCTAAAAGGAGAAACAATGCTTTAAAAAAAAGAAATAACAGACCCAAAAATGGAGTCACTTGTGCTAAGCCCAACGTCAGCAAACCAAGACACAACTCTCAACCCTAAATGCAATTTCAGCCTCTCCCAGGAATGCAACCTTTAACCAGTCAATCTGAAATTACCTGATCAGCACTAGTGAGGTAATCGGCTTAATAGAACCCTTCTGTCCCTCGAAGGAAGGTGCTCTTTCTGAAACAACCCACTCTTTGCTAGAAACTTCCTTTTCTCATCCTTTTCTGTCTATAAAAGCCTTCTATCTTGTACAACTTTCCAGAGCTCCTTTCTATCTGTTTGATGGGATGCTGCCTGATTCAAGAGTCATTGAATAGGCCTCTCTCGCTCCTTCGTCTTTGGAGATGGCTCGCACTCTGTCTATGGAGTGTGTATCCACTTTTACTTTAACCTGAGCACCCAACCCCCACACCTCATGGCCTTTCTCTCACCTTCTGAAACAGCCTATACTCTTTACAGTGTGTATCTCCCTAAATAAAAAAAAAATCATTAAATAAAGCCAATTAGATCTTCAAATTTCCTGAGTTGAATTTTGCTTTTTAACAGCAACAAAGAGCACAGAAATTATTATAACTATGTTGTGAATTTACTAACTATGGAAAGACTCATTTTGAGGATACAAAAAAAAATTGAGAAATATTGGTAGCAATGTTTAATAAAAAATTAAAGCCTGGTAAAACTCTTGTCTCAATCAGGAAGAGGACAGAGAAATAAACTTAGTAGAAAATTTTGTTAGGAATACAAATGAAATTAGTATTTGGAGCTCTGGCAATTTTTATACACACCAAGTGGAAGTAAAACCACTTTGGAGAGCAACTTGGCAATATGTAGTAAAGATGAAGATGTATTTCCTATCATCAGAACAATTCCACCCTTGGGAACATGTAAAGAAACACCACAAGTGTGAACAGGGAGACACACAAGAACATTCATTAGTAATTATAGCATTAGTAATAATAGCAAAACCCATCAGTTCTCCACAAGTTAACTTTAATCTCTACAACATTCTAAAATAGTCTAATCCATAAAAGATAAATATCTCTTAGGATTAGATAATCTTTCAAAATCCAGCTCCACTGAAAAGATACCCACTAATCTCTGCTGCTTATTTCAAAGTGCCACATTTCTCCTTAAAAGTCACAAACCACAGGTTATAGGAGGTACTAGAAGGAAAAGGTTCTGTCATTCACAGGTCTTCTCTAATACTGGCCCAGTATTAACCATTCATGCAAAAAATAAAATGTTATCTACAATCTACTGTGTAATTATCACAGCACTAGATAGGGTAAATTTTGAAAATAATGGGTCATAGTTCTTGCTCACAATGTACTTACAATCTCATTATGGAGACAGAACATACTTATAAGAAACTACTAGTCAATAAACTTAATAAACTGCAAAACTGTGTACAAATAGATATAGGGCAGTATAAAACTGAAATTCATTCAATTATTATTCGTGGGTTATGTATTTGTAAATTTGCCTACTGGTTAAAATTCATCTGTACCTCCAAAATCAATATTTGCAGTGCTTTTGGTGACGGCTGCGGTGAGGGAAAGTGAGGGCTCCAACTTTCTTACCGGCTTGAGTCAGTTTGGGCGTGGAGGGATGCGATGTCAGAAAAAAGCAGCTGGTAGACTTGGATCTCCTGGAGGATGATGACGAGTTCCAGGAGTTCCCTGCAGAAGACTGGGCTGGTTAAGATGAAGATGCACATGTCTGGGAGGATAACTGGGATAATGTCAATGTAGAAGATGACTTCTCTCATTGCTTATGAGCTGAACTAAAGAAACATGGTTATAAAATGGAGACCTCATAGCATCCAGAAGTGTTCAATTAACCCAAACTTGAACTGTTCACAAAATTTTAGAACAGAGAACCCAGGATGGGACACTTAAAAAATATATGTTTATTTCATTACCCGCTTGGATTTATTTTTGGTTTTTGCAGCACAAAAAAATTAATGTTTTGGTCTAAAAAGAGAAATATTTGCAGTGCTTTTGCAGTCATTCATGGACATGTACAGAGTGGTGAAAAATTTGGTTGCCCAACATACATGTCCCCAGCTGAGGTCTAAGAAAGCAAACATCTGCCTTCTCCTTTCATCTCTGACCCTATAAACGGGTGTCCTCTTCAGAGTCTATTTAATGTGAGGCTTTTCACATTTTTGTGCTTCTTTTACCTCGGTGATTTTGCTGAATGGCTCCCAAAGGTAGTGCTGAAATGCTGTTCTTAGAGTCTGTGATGTGCCTTATGGAGAAAATACTTGTGTTAGATAAGCTTCACTCAGCCATGAATTACAGTGCTATTGGTCATGAATTCAATGTTACTGAATCAAAAATACATCGTAAATAAAGTGTCTTTAAACAAAAACACATATAAACCAAGGTTATGTATTGATTTGGTGACTTAAATGTTGTGACCAGGGCTCAGGGAAACTTAACTGTTACTTCCCTTAGGAGCAATGGTTCAGTAAGTCCTTAATTCAGTGTTGGAAGTAACTTTATAGAACATGACTACTACCACAAATAACTATATTTATACTGAGGGAAGAAGTGCTTTTCAAATGTATCTGATTTCCTTATTAACACAAGAGGAGGGGAAAAAAGCCTTCCCAAGAAATTGCTTCACTGCTCTCCCAAAGAGCTATAAAAGCAGTGATCATCTCTAGTTGACCCCTCCTTCTCTCTTCACTTTATTTTCCCTCAGTTCTCTCTGTCTCTTGTAGGAGTCTCCAGCTAAATAATGTTTTTCAAGAATCTAGACTCTTATACCAAATTTGATAGAGATGGACTCACAGGACACACACGTGCATTTAGAAGTAAGCTCTGCAGATGTGTTCCCGCAAAATTAATCGCAAAAATCCGTGGTTAGCACAGTTCTACGTGAACCCAGAGAAGGGCATTTCCTCACTTTGGACATTCGCCTTTGGAAACTCCCAAGAACGTTATAAAAATACGCTAAAGTTTTTTCTTCTTAACTCTCGCACAGCAACCCCACTGTGCCTTCCTGTAAGCCCGTATAAAGCTGTTCAGCTTAGCCTGTTACCTTCCTCTGTTTCTTTAAGACGTTAAGTCGGGTGTTTTGCCCTATGCCAAAATGGCTGCCCACGCTTCACATGCTCTGCGCATGCTTTTTGAGCGCAATTTGGCGTAAAAGCAATTCAGTGATCTTTCGCGGCGCAAGATGGGGACTTGGCCGCGGGCGAGACTGAACCTCCCAGCATGCTTTGCAGCCCGGCCGGGAGGCCCGACGTCTAGTGATGGGGAGCCCCGGGTGCTTTACGCCGCCAAATCGGCTGTAGAGGTTGAGGTTGAGCCCCGGGCCCGGGAATTGGACGCCTGCAGAGCGGGAAGATGGAAGCATGGCGCTGTGTGAGGAGAGGCTACGGCCGCTGTGTAGTGGGGAGAGGCCGGTCAGTAGAGCTGGGTGGCGGGAGGGAAGAGGGAGGGGCGGGCGGCCTGGAGGTGGGGCGGGCGCCCCGGGTTAACCCGGGGCGGGGCGGGCTGGGGGAGGTAGGAGGAGGAAGAGGGTCTGGGCCGTGTTGCCTCCGGGACGGACCTCCGGAGAACCCGAGGGATAGGTAAACCCGGCGCGCAGCCGGCGGGACGTTCGGCGGACGGGGTCTGGATCCCGGGCGCGGAGCGCATCGGCCGCGGGTCGGGCTCCTGCCTTCCGGACCAGGTTGGCCTCGGAGTCCCGGCCCACTTTCCCCAACCCAGCCTCGGACAGCCTGAGCCTCCCGGTCCCCGGCCTCCTCCCCGAGCCCCGCAGCCCCCTCCGGGAGCTGCCCGGCCGCAGGGAGGACGTCTTCCGCAGGAGGTCTGGGGGCGGCCTGACCCCGAGGGAGGCGCGCGCGTTGCACACAAGCCCGGGGGTTGGTTTGTTGGTGTGGTGGTGCCTCTCGAACTTTTGTCACTGGTATACCATCCTTTACGATGATTACCAAATTCTCGTTTCACACTTGAATTATTGGATATTTTTCATGAAATTGACTCACTTTTTTAAAAAGCATTTCAGTAGCTGCTGCCCACATTAGTGTCACCCTAACCAGTATCCGCGAGATCTTGGGTAATACTTAAACATCAAAAAGTTTAATTATGCACCATATGATACCGACCGGTGTACCACACATGGGAAGCACAGCACTGTATTCATTTTTATATAAGTTTTGGGGACCTGATTTTAACTTCTATAGTCTTGGGACTTGACAATTCTGTTCAGCAGTGTTTCCTGAGTACCAGCTGTGTGCCAGGCACTGTGCTAGGCACTTAGGAAGAGACCTAGATTAAAATGCATAAGAAAGCTCTGGGCTAGAAGGGGCTCATCTTAAGAGAAAAAGACATCTATATAAGTAACTACAAATGTAGCGAGTAAGTCTAGTAGTACAAGTATTATATTTCAGCACGGTAGCTTATTGGGTATGAATACATATGGCGCAAGTGCCCAAATCTCTATGGCTTTCAGAGTTTTCACAAAGCAGGGTAGACTGCCCTTGTCATGCCTTTAAAGATTTACATTCAAGTTGAATTTAGAGAATAGTTTGAGAATGCATAAACTGCAAAAATATATAATAAAAAATTTAAATGGTGTTAAGATGAAAAGAACATAACATGTAAAAGAAATATAACAGTAAGTACAATTTAAGCAAAATTCCTTTGGTGATGGAAGTGGACATTATTGACACTGTCTTGGAAATGTACCATTACTGAATTCTGGAGGAAAGAGTAGAAGTTTTTCTCTGAATCCTAACATTTTGCCAGAATAGTGTAGGAGAAAGTAGATGCTGCTTGAGTTGCATTGTTTCTTAAGAGAGCCTGAGAGCAATTTATCTCTTCAAAATAATGATAACAGTACTTTGGAGAAATTTTTCATGATAGGTTAAATTGGTACTGTTGAGTTTGGAGTGTTGGTGAATTTCTGGTAAGTAATCTCCATCCTCTTTCATTTCCCTCAAGGAGGAATGGAAAAAAAAAAAGGAAAAGTAAGTTATCCACCTGCTGATTAACAAGAGACATAGTTTTGTGAAGTAGTGATAGGCTCTTGTTTTCTTAGCTGTACAGGTGTTTGGAAAATATAACCTTGGTGTTAAAAAAAAACTGTTCAGAAACATGTTTTTACTCCAAACCCAAGTTCGAGGAGAGATTCATTTTAATTGTAGTCAACTTATGTGTTTCATATTTAAGTATTATATTTGCGGTGGATTTTATTTGCCCATTGGGTTTTATTAGATGCTAGAAGCTACTCTGAATACTGTTTAGTGATTGATTCACCTCTCAGTTGAATTGTGTGGACTTCTTGAAGTATACCTGGTGTTTTGGGAGGCTGGTGGATTCTATGTTAAGTGCTGAGAATACTGTTCATAGTTATTTAGTGCGAGTATTGAGATATTGCCACGAGTAGTTAATTCACGGCTGCTTCCCCCCTCCAATCCTTCACAGATTTAGAAGTGAAATTTTAATTATTAGACATTATCTTCCCTTGAGGAAACAGATTTAGATTTTGTGTACTATAGCTGAACAAAAAGTGGTACCTCAAGGAGTGTATTTATTTCTTTTAGATACCCCATGTTACCCCATCACCAGAAGAGTCTGGGCAGAGACTGGACTACACCGTGGGAGAATCTGCAAAAGTGTTGCTGGAACAGACATATTTCTAGTTGTATGAGGTGGCCGGGACACTATTCTCGTGCTCCTTACCCATACTTCAGTAGTAGGCATTTTTCACTAAATTGGAGACCACCTTGTTTGTTTGAGTCTAGAACTCAGTTTCAGTACTGGAACTGGAGACCTGACAACCTGAGCCAGACATCTTTAATTCATCTCTCTAGTTACATCATGAACTCTGAGGGAGATGAGCCTTCATCAAAACGAAGAAAACACCAAGGTAAAGGTGACATTTATCTTGGTGCAGAAATAGACCTAAGCCATAAACTAATTAAAACTTTCATTTGTAATCCTTAAGAAAACCTGCAGATTTTAGAGGTGTTCGGTGTTTTTTTTTTTTTTAGACACTAGTTTTCTGTTAGGAAAAAGGAAAATCTTTTAAAAAAATTTCAATTATATATTTCTGGCAGTAGAAATGGAAGCGACTCTACATACAGACTAAGATTAGAAAACAATGGAGGACTAGATTAAAATATTAAGTTTAAGAATAGTTTTCAAATTCAATGCTTTTGAAACAAAAGCCCTTAGACTTCTTAAAAATTGGTGGATGTATTCTTGGGAGCCCACAGATCTATTTTAAAAATGAAATATCATGTTTTCATTTTTAATGCTAACTTCATAAGACAAAAGGACTTCCTTAAATAGAGGCAATCATAAATGAAAGATATTTTCTTACAGAATCTGTGGGAAGTTTTATCTTTTAACTACGTCTTATTACAACTTTGAGAAGGTTTGTTCTAGATACCTTAATTAGTTCTATTTTTCTCATATTCTTTTTACTCTAAACAATTCACTAGACTCTGTGCTCTCAGCCCTGCCCCCCCCCAAATTATGTATGAGTTGTCTAAGTAAATTTGGAATTGTCTTTCTTACTGAGCTATGGTTTTCAGTGACGATAATTCCTCTGTAGATATTTGGGGAAAGGTTGTATGGCTATTAGTGTGTAGGGAGCTGACATAAGTTTGTCAAAGGAAGACATTCAGAGTGAGTCTCACCTGGAAATCAGAACTAGATTAGTTAATGCTTTTTTAAGTAGAACTTCTATTACACATTTAAGTAGAGATTCTAAGCACTCAAAAGTATAGCACTTAACCACCGCATGTATTTATAAAGAAATATTTGAATGATTGAAAGATGTATTTAAAGACATAAAAATTAGGTTGCTAAGAATAGACCGTGATCTATAAACCTAGGGCTGTATGATGACAGGAGATAGCTTCTCATTCATGTATTGATTGTTCAGAGGGTCATTCTTTCATTTAACCTCTTGTAAGTCTGGTGTGCTCTCAGGCAGAGCCGCGGTGTAGTGACACAGCATGGGCTTAGGAACCGCTCCCTGCTCTCATTCTGCTCCACCAACTATGTGAGTTTGACAGGTTACTGAACCTCTCTGCTCCTTGATTTCCTGGTGTACAATAATGCCAACTTTGAAAGCCTGTGGAGGATGAAGTGAGAGATGTCAAAGTGCCTAACACACTGTTGGCTTCATAGTAGGTACTCAGAAAATCGTGGTGGTGGTGTTTTCCCTTTAATGAATGGGGAATTACATTGACATACTGATGAACTTTGATTGCAACCTGACTATATATATCCGTTCTTCCTAGGTATTGTGAATAAGGAAAATGCTCTTCGTTAAGCCATATTTGTGACTTCCGATATTTCACTAATACTGCTTTTCAATCAAGAAAACAGCATTGCTAACTTGCCTATCACTTTAAAGTGGTATTTGAAGGATTTGTGACACAATTAATGACTTTTTAATTAGGCACCCTAAAAACCTGATCAGGCCTATTGCTTACTTTCTTTGATTCATCTGTCTTCTCTGCTGTGATCACCTTGTTCCTCCTGACATGGAAGGTATATAAGCTTTTGTAGTGTGAATTTATGTTGTGAAGCATGTGAAGGCCAAAGACTATCCACTCTCTCAGTAGTTTTCAGATTGTCTTCCATGGAACCCTAGCATTTGAACACATTTCTGTATGTTTACCAAAAGCAAATGTGGTCAGAATAAAATGTGTTTACCCCATCGTCCCAGCTCCAGTCCCCAACATACCAGGGATTGGGGGGGGGGGCGTGACGTAAAAAGTAATGCCAAAGAAGTCTGAAAGCCACTGTGTTAATTAGATAATTAACTGATGGTTTTGGTTAATAAAAATGGAATTGCAAAAAGAGTTTACAAACTCTTGATTGCCAGGACTACAAATATTAATGCTTTTATATGCCTTTACAAACACATATTTTACAAGAAAATATGTATGAGTTTTTCAGACTTTCATCTTTCATGTTTTAACATAGTGGTGCCACCAGAGTAGTGCAATAAGTTTGTGATGATTATTTGGTTAATGACTAGAATTTGGTTAATGACTTTTCCATCTCATATACATATAAAAACAATGATTTGTGGTGAAAACCATAGTCAGTCCCCAATTTATGAATGAATTGTGTTCTAGATAATCAGTTACTAAGAATCCGTTCTGTTTTCCCCATAAGATCTATCTTATAAATTTCACAGTAACTCTGCGGAATCAGTATAATTAGCTTTAATTCTGGGTTTTAGCGTTAGGATTCTCTACATTCAGTGAAGGATAGGGAAGGTGGTAGTTTCCTTCTCTTTCCTGGGCATAGGACAAGCTCTAGACTAAATCATGTAATAGTTGAAGACTTTTTATTTTGGTTTGCTTTCCTTCCACCATTTTTTCTTTACCCTTTTCCTCAGACTCCTAGTACCTTCATGCTATCATAATTCCAACTCCCTTGTTCCACCTAGACCTCATTATTCATAAAAATTATGTCCCTCTTCCGTCCTCTGGTCAAAATTTCTGTTCCTTTAGTGCAGCAGATATCAACGTTTAGATTTTGGGGAAGCAATCTAACAGAAAACAGTTACCAGAATGTATTTAAAATTTTTCTTCATTGGCATTTTTTTAAACATTTTTTATTGATTTATAATCATTTTACAATGTTGTGTCAAATTCCAGTGTTCAATTGGCATTTTTATTGAGTGGTAATATTCTTTTTTTCTTCCAGTTTTATTGAGATATAATTGACATATAGCATTGTATAAGTTTAAGGTGTACAGCATAATGATTTGACTTACATCAAGAAATGATTGCCACAATAAGCATTGTTAATTATATTTATCATGTTGTACATTATATCCCTAGTATTTATTAATCTTATAACTGGAAGTTTGTACCCTTTGACTGCCTTCTTCCAATTCCCTCTCCCTACTAGAGTATGCTGATATTCTGATTGTAAATATTTCATCATTTTAGAAGATTTGGAAGAAACTTCCACAATCCTTTCACTCAGTTACTCTTAAAAATAGTGGTGTATTTCCTTTTAGTCTTTTTCCCCCATGTCTAGAACATTTTTCCTCAATTTTTACTTGGTAGAATTTTAGGCATTGTAATCCAATGAAGTGAAAACTTTCATGTGGGAAAAGGGAGCTATACTAGGGCTGAGGTTTTTTTCGTATCATCTAATCATGCTTGAAAGTCCATCTTCAAATCTTTTTGTTTCCCAAGTTCATCCCGTTTCTTGTTTTCCCCTTCTTTTGAGCTTTTAGATTCCCTAAAAAGTTGCATATTTTTCTTCATGGCTTCCATGACAGTAAGAGTATCCTCTTTAATGGTAGGGTGAGGAAGACAAGGTCAGAGGGGTGTGTGTGTCTGTATATATACACATGTATATGTACATACATACATATATAGTGGTATCTGTACATACAGTGGTGTGTGTATAGATATATACTGATACATGTATACATATGTGTGTGTGTGTGTGTGTATATATATTTATTTTTTTTTTAGTGGTCATTTCTAAGTCAAAGACTGCCTGCAATTGCAGAATCTCATGCTATTTGATCCTCTTCTCATCACCTTTTCAGGGTACATGGTGTCTTTGCAGAATGTAAACTATTATACAATCCTCGTTGCTGCATGCTAGGTTTGTCAATCAGGCATCATCATTTACTAGCGTTCTGTAACTGTATTACATTTAACTTTTGCTTTGGTGTGCATTAAAAATACTTCTTTTGTTCATTTTGTTTGCATTCTTCCAGTAAATACTGCTTCCATATATTATCATTTTTTAATACCCTTCATTCATGTCTAAACCAGATTTCTGAGATGAATTGTTTCGGAAACTTAGTTAAGCATTTGATAATCTTATCATAGTAACAGGCAATAAAGTACAATGTGAAATCTTCCTATTGAAAGGCCAGCTGTGACATGCAGATGTATTGTCATGGTCATGAAATTGCTGAGCATGTCTGTGGCGGAGCTACCTCTTAACCATAAGGAACTCTGACCCCTGTATAGTCTCAGCTTTACTAACACAAACTTCCAGCCTCCAGAATGACTTGCTAGATCCTTTTAACCTTGTTTTTTTGTCCCTCTTGCTCAGTCAGTATATCATGTTACTGCCTTTGTAATCAAATTGATGGCAACTTCTAGCTGTTAAGTACTACATTGCCATTTCCTAGGGAAAAACATTCTATTCATTGCCTATAGGAATCTTTAAAAGACAAGAAAATACATACAGGATAATATATAGCCTAATTTTTATTAATTCTTTGTATTTTATCTAATGTATTTTAACAGGCACAATAACACGGCATTGGGAATATATATGTAACCATAATAAAGAAAAAACGAAGATCCTAGGAGACAAAAATGTTGACCCCATATGTGAAGACAGTGAAAACAAGTTTGACTTTTCAGTGATGTCCTATAATATACTTTCACAAGATTTATTGGAAGACAATTCACACCTTTACAGACACTGCCGGCGGCCAGTGTTACACTGGAGTTTTAGGTTTCCCAATATTCTGAAAGAAATTAAACACTTTGATGCAGATGTAAGTGCAAAATACCAAAATTCTTCACATAAAAAAAGGTTGGATTCATTTCTGAACTAAATGGTTTTATTCCCTTTGTGGGGTAAGAAGGGAAGACATTAAATATAGTAATGAAATAGTTTTTAACAAGGTATCATGACTTTGAATAACTTGCTAATGATGGTTGATTATAAATAATTATATAACTTTTCAAAAAAGATCCAGAAAGTTTTAAGTATAGATCAGTTTTGAGACAGGCATCATATTAAGTATTCAGTAAATATTTCCTTTGATTCAAAATTTAAATAATTAGTGCAAAATTAATCTAGATGATGTCACTCAAAAAAATTATCTCTTAAGAAAATAGTAGAAGGATGTAGTACTAATGAACATAAAAATTCAGGAAAATTATCCTGACATGTAAATTATAAATATTCCCTTTGGGAAATAACAGTTTTGGAGAGTAAGAAGGCTTCTTGTGATTAAAGATCAGGGTTTTGGGGACTGATCAAATTTGGAGACATTAATATATTAGATCTATGCAGTACAAGAAAGACAGTTGTCTTTTACTTCAATTTTAATCAGGTTTTTAGAATTTTAGAAGTCTATTTTTAAAGATAAAAGCACCAGAAAATTCATATTTTCACTTCTTTGTTTTAATTCAAGCCATGTTTTTCTTCTAAGGTACTTTGTTTGCAAGAAGTTCAAGAAGATCATTATGGAGCAGAGATCAGGCCAAGTTTGGAATCATTGGGTACAATGTGACTTTCATCTTAGCCAGATTTCCTTTATGGGTTGTGAAAGCATAACTTGCTAACAAAGATGTGTGGTATATTGGAACCAAAAATCTTAATTTTGAAAAAAATTTAATACCCATTTCAAAAGGTCAGGAAAAGATTAAGGTATTTCAAATGGAAACTATTGTGTTGATACATAATTTGGTTTGGGTTTTTTTGTTGTTGTTGGGTTTTTTTTGGCTTTTTTTTTTTCGAGAATAGTAAAGGAGCTTATTAGGTGATGCTTCTGTAGACAACAGCAGGCCACACAGAGATGCCTGTGTGAGCCCCAGGGGCCGGTTGTTGGGTTTTTTATAAGGTCAGGTCACAAGGTGCCTGATCGGCTTGTGCACAAGTCTCTGATTGGTTGTAGGCGAGGTAAGAAGTTTAGGGTCAGTGAAGGTTTATGACTCTAATAAGGTGGGCTGAAACAAGCTGGCCTGAGCTGCTGTGAGGTTGGGCATTGCCTAGGGCTATTAGTTTGTTAAGGCCAACACACCCGGTAAAGAATGTACTCTCTGTTGGGGGATTGCAGGCAGACAGCTGAGAGCCCAGGAATGGGGGTCATTGGACCTTGAAGGACATTAGTTGGCTCCACATTCCCCCCTGACAGATTGGCAGTGACAGATTCTTTGGAACAGGGTTGAAGGTCTCGTCTTCCGTATCTGCTTCCTGCTGAATGAGGGCATTGTGCTGGCCCTGCCTCTCATGCCAGTCTGTCTGGGGTTATGGGGCCCCGGCAGCCTTAAAGATGGGAGCAGAAGGAGACCCCAGTGGTGTCCAAGGACTGCATCACTAGGATGTTGGTTTGGTTCGTGGCAGCAGTCTTGGTTGGAGGGGTATATTTGTTCCTAAGTTCATGAATCTTGGAGCTGGAGATTCCTGTACTTGTTAAAAGGTGACCTTTCTAATTTATCTGGTAAAGCTGTTAGAACCTAAGAGTTTCCAGTCTTCAGTTCAGCGGTATGATTTAAAAGTTATAAGAAACCTGTACTTGTCAAAAGTCCTTTCTATAGATCTTCCCACCGGCGACATCTGCCTGGTGCAGCAAAGGCAGGAGGCTCCGCCAGTCTGAAGGTGTGACCCGCAAAAGGCAGAGAGAAGGCACAGAGGTGCACCAGGCAGCTGGGCCCGAGAACGAAGAAGTGTTTCAAGGGCCAGCGTCAGAGGAAGGGAGAGAGTGGAAAGGAGAGATGGAGAAAAGGGTATTTAGAAAAGAAAAGGAGCCTTTCCCGTATGCATTCACTACTGAGGTCCGGGGATCATTCCCGTCTGTCAGACTGGGTTTCAGAGCCCGCTGAGAGCAGCCCAGCCAGCTTTCCATAGTCCTCGGCAAGGCTTCTGGGAATTCCCAAACACTAGGAAAGAGCAGGAAAGTATGAGAGGAAAGGAAAGAGGGAAACCTGCCTTGGCCATTCTGGTGTCCGATCAAGTCAGGGGGAGAACCCCATAGGGAGGGGGCAGAGAGAGAGGCCCAGTGGGCTCCCAGGAGCTTGGGCCAAGGTAGGCCAGTCTTGTGGGCGGTAAAAGAATTTACGGAAGGCAAAGGATGAGAATAGAAAAGGAGTTTATCAGGTTACGCTGCCATAGACAACATAGACGAGAAGTGCCTGTGTGAGCTTGATGTATAATTTTGATTCAAATGGAAAGGTGTAAGAATCTCTTAATAGCTTCCTTTCCAGGAGTTGCCCTGCCCACTACCAGACCCCCTAAGATTCTGAGTTCCATAAGATCAAGGACCATTCTGTCTAGTTCATTATATAACGCCAGTTCATCATTATATAACTACCATGCCTAATGGAAAGAAGCTAAAAACCTATTTGATTAATGAACACTTCTAAGAAGCAGGTCATCTGTTTAAGAAGTGCTGCCTGCTTTGCATTCATTCGTTCAGCAAATATTTTTTGGGTTCTTAACTATACTCCATGCACTCACTGTTCTAGGCAGTGGGGATACAGCTGTGAGCAAAACAGATAACAAGTCTCAGTCCTTGTGGAGCGTACATTCTAGAAAGGCCAAAATATACCAAACAAACAAATAGTGCATTAGGTAATGATAGTTTTCTGGAAGAAAAGCACAGGAAAAAGGAGGGGAATGGGTCAGGTTTCAGTTTTAAACAAAGTAATCAGAGAAGGTAACATTTGAGTAAAGACTTGAAGGAAGTGAAGGAACAAGCTGTCACTAGAGCGTTCCAGGTAGCGGAAATAGCAAAGGAAAGGCCCTGAGGTTGGAGTGCCTTAAGGCAGGTGAAGAGGCTGTGGTTTGTATGGTGGAGCAAGCCAGGAAGAGTTAGAGGCAAAAAGGTCAGAGATACGGGGTTGGGGGAGTGAGGGAGCCGATGATTACAAGGCCTTACTGTCTTTGTCATGACTCTTGACTTTTACTAGGAAGAAAATGAGAATGTGTAATGCACCTTAGCGTATTTAACACTGAAGTCTTACCAGCAACGAGACCTGTTAGACTCCATCGTAGACTTTTTTGATTCCATCACTTACTTAACATCCTATCCTACATTACTAATGTTTTGCAGAATGTTTTGGTAAACCTTGTCCAAAAAAAACCTTTTTTTTTTGCAAGGCAAAACACAGTTCTTCTAATATGTATGTGTATGTGTGAAAACCAGTCGTCTTTGTTTTAAATTTCTTTCTTACAGGTTATCACTGTGAATACAAGATGCGGACAGGAAGGAAACCTGATGGCTGTGCCATTTGCTTCAAACATTCCAAATTTTCACTCCTATCAGTGAACCCAGTGGAATTCTACCGCCCTGATGTTCCTCTGTTGGACAGAGACAATGTTGGATTAGTGTTACTTTTGCAGCCCAAAATTCCAAGTGCTGCCTCCCCTGCGATCTGTGTAGCTAACACACATCTGTTGTATAACCCAAGGCGGGGTGATATTAAGCTGACCCAATTGGCAATGCTTCTGGCAGAGATTTCCAGTGTTGCCCATCAGAAAGATGGCAGCTTCTGCCCCATTGTTATGTGTGGTGACTTTAATTCTGTTCCTGGCTCTCCACTCTATAGTTTTATAAAGGAAGGAAAATTGAATTATGAAGGACTTCCCATAGGAAAGGTAAGTGCCCATTTCCTTGTTATTAGGAAGTGGACTTCTCTCTTCATTGTGAAGTGAGAATAGTCATCACAGGGCTGTTTGAAAGCCTTGGATGAGCCAGTACCCTCGCTTTACCAAGCTGTGATGATTATCCACAGCTACTGATAAGTAATTGTATTCAGGGTTGATTGAATTTCATCTTTTCCATCTATTTGTGGCGACATTCTGCTTGGAGGAATTGACAGGCAGCAATAAATTCAAAATGAGGGAGAAGAAGCATTGACAGACATGAGTATGTCATAGATGAGGAACTCCTTACAAGGTGGTGGAACAGAATTTTGAATGCTAGATGTGGACAATACAGTTGACTAAACAGTAATTTAATATTTATTTATTATATAAGTTTTCCTTTACACGGTGATAAATATTTTAATTCTTCAGTGAGTATAATTTATCCCATTTTTAAATTTTCATTCTACTTTCTTCTGTTTACTTTAGATCATTTGATATTCAGTGTATTTAACCAAAATAAGCTCTCCATTGAGTTTTGAGTAATAGTTTAAAATTTTGTAAGAGTTGATCTCTTTTAGTATTTTCTATAAAAGGAACTGTATTGCAGGTAGCAAAAAAGGAGGAACAGCATCGGTCCAAAGCTACAGATCCTTTAGATGTCCAAATTAGAGAAAAACATGCATAGGAAAAGATGGCCATTTTCGTGTAAATACGTGCTTTCTGAACCGTATTTGAACAAAATTTTATAAGCCCAAATAATCACTTAATATAATAAATAAAGGGTAATATTTACCATTCTTGGATTCCCTTTTATTTAAGAAATAAACTTTTCAGTACATAAACTATTTAAAATCTATTCACCTAAGATACCTGTTGAAATTTTGTTTAGGTATCTGGCCAGGAACAGTCATCACGGGGACAAAGAATTTTATCTATTCCAATTTGGCCCCCAAACCTAGGTATCTCACAGAACTGTGTTTATGAGGTACAGCAGGTACCAAAAGTAGAAAAGACAGGTAAGTGTTTGTAATACCTTTTGGCAGTCTTCTTGATAATGTGTTCCCTTTGAGGACGTAAAACTAAATTTTAAAGGGATAACATCTCAGGGCTGAATATTCATATGTAAAAACATATAGTTGTTTGCTTATTCTTTTTTTTAAAGAACTCTAAATTTACCCTTTTTAAGTTCAACTTCCCAAATTATCTTTGCATGAATTACTTGCATGTTGCTTTGGAAATGTTTGCATTTTTTTTTGCTAATTCTGGAGACCATCAAAACATAGTCAGGATGAAACATTTAACTAAGACATTTATCTAAACTAAGTATGTCTTAAATATTGCTCCTAGAGTAAAATGATTATACTGAGGCAAACTAAAACAAGACAATACCTTGATAGTATTAATATTTCTCTTTGTTCTTACAGACAGTGATCTGACACAAACAGAGCTGGATAAAACAGGAGTCCTAGTTACAGCTGAAAAGTGAGTTCTGGAAAGCAACAGTAGACATTTGCTGACTTTAGTTGAGTTAAAAAAAAATCACTTCTCAAAAAATCACTTGGACAAAAATGAATGTGCTGGTGAAGAATGCTGGCTCTTAAGTCAAATAGACCTGAGTTCCAGCCCTGACTTTGCTACTTTTTAGCTGGATGATTTTGAGCAAGAAACTTAACATTGCTAAGATAGTTTTTTTCTCTGTAATTTGGGTTGTTGTGAGGATTAGATGAGACAAAGCATGTAAAGCTCAATGTTTAACATACGGTTAGTGCTTACGCAGTGTTATTTAAAGGAAACAGCTTGTCCATGGACCTGAACTGGCTAGTACTCTGAAATTTATTGCTATTACATATTGAAACAAAGGTCAAGATCACAGAAAAATACCTTTCAGATTTCTAGAGGATCCTTGCCCTCCTTTGACTCAACTGGATCTCAAATAGTCTATAGGAGAATTGATCCAAAAAAGAGTCTGTCAGTAGAAAAGATATTACTTATATTTATCTCTTAAACTATAGGAAAAGATCATCAGAGGTAGCTGGGTGAAGATGCCTGCATTTCTTTCTATTAAAGAATCATGAATGTTTAGGGCTACGGCTGAGAAACCAGATGTATGTTAGTACAACAGGATGGAGACTTGAATCTTGTCTCTTTGGAAGATTCTTGAGATACCTTGTTTCTTGTGGCTCTTTTATAGTTTTGACTTCTGTTTTAACATTTAAATTTTAGGACCACTTCATTTATTTTATCTGCTTTCTTCTCAGTCTTATTTTGTATATCTTGTTTTGGGGAGAGATTTCATATATAAGAACTAGTAAGAAAGGAAGCAAATTTTTTTGAAATTTTAAAAAAGAATATTTAAAAATTCATAATTAAACCTTTCAAAGTAACTGCTTACTAACAATTAGTTTTGGGTAATTCCAAAATCTTAATAACAAAGTAGGGTATAAGGAAAGATATTTGTAAGTATCTATAAATATTGTGTGTTTATAGCATTTATCAGTAAACTGAAATATTGGTAGTAAGATAACAGTTTGCAGGAAACCTGTTTACATTTGGTAATATTATAAGTGTAAGTCCTTAGACATAAAAAGTTGCTAAAACTTGGAAGTAGAGCATTTTGAAGCAATTACCTTTGCCTTTTGATACACGAGCTCTTTAAAAGCAGGGCACATCTTTATCTGTGTATCCTCAGTAGCTAAGATGAGATGGTGCCGGGAAGTTAGTAGATGTTTGGTAAATGTTGGATGAATAAACAGTTTTTAAAAAATGTTTTCTTTCATGACATAAAAGATTCTTAAAATTCATGATGTGTTGTTAGGAAATGATTTTTACCAATAGTGTCACATGTATTTGTAGTGTGGGGTAAATGTAAATCATTATTGAAGCTATTTTAAGATGCAATACAAAATTATCTCACATACCATAGCAAGAACAATCATGGAAAAACAGGGCCTCTCTGACATCAGAAGTCTGTCCGTTCTTAATAGCGTTCCTAGAGGTCAGTTTAATTTTCTTTCTTAAAAACAACAAAAAAACTTACAAATTGTTTTAGAGTATGTGTTCACTGGTAAGTAGGGGCTCTCAAATATGTTATAATGAATTTAAAAAATCACACTAATACGTTAATTATTGAGCTTCCCCACCCCGCCCCCCATGTGTCACAGCCCTGTTAATTGCATGAATAAAAGAAAGCAAAATTGTGATATGGTCTATTTACATAAAGATTGTCCCAATGTCTGCTTTTGTCTGGAAATTAAGTGAAAAGTTGCTTTAAGTAGGAGAAATTATAAAAATCATGAAAAACTTGATGGATTGTAAATATTTTTTCTTTTCAATTTAGAGTATCTTCAAATTTACAGCACCATTTCAGCTTGTCATCTGTTTATTCACATTATTTTCCTGACACTGGAATTCCTGAAGTGACCACCTGTCATTCGCGAAGTGCCATAACTGTGGATTATATTTTCTATTCTGCTGAAAAGGAAGATGTTTCTGGGCAGCCAGGTAAAGAGTACATGTAATCTTAAATTCTGCTCGAGAACATAGTAACTAAAGCTTCACGGTTAAAGGTGAGAAAGTTAGCTAAATGTCTAGATGAAGTTCTAGATAAAGAAATTAAAAATATTTTTAAATTGGTAATATATTTGGCAGCTTGGTAATGTATTTGAATAAATCATTGTATCATCTGCAAAAGATGGAGGCAGTGAAACACCTCAGAGCAAATTGTTACCTAAGAATTACATCCTCAGCTCTGCCCTTCAGTCCCCGTCAGCTTCTGAGTTATAGTACAGATTTTCCATAATGGCCTTCTGGTTTTAACTTGCCAGGAATTTTCTGTTTTTCTTGGGACAGCAGCATCCTACAGTTTTGTACTTAAATTTTACTAAAATATGCTGCCTTCATTGTAGGAACTTGCTTGTACTGCCAAAAATCGACAATTTTGTCATGTTCACCCTGGAATATTGATTCATTCTGGAAAGAGAAGTCTATAATGTGTGTATTTTCAAACAGCAAAGGTGATAAAACACTTCTTTGTGATTCAATGAAAACAAGTTTTTAAATGTCAGTCAGGGGATTTAACATGGAGAAGAAAATGCCATTTAAAGTAACTGGAAATCAAGGAAGTATTCAGGAAACCGAAAATCCAAAATGTGGGCAGCTGTTTTGTCATTTCTGGTTCTTCTTTTTTTCCTCTTTTTTTTTCCCTTCAGTGCTACTTTTCTTTTCCCCTTTTCCCTTCTGTTTGTTTGTTCCCTCCTTCCCAAGGATAACACTTATTAGTGACACTCAGGAGATGGCTTCCTCCACTCCACTAGTTCATCTCTGCAAAATATGCTTGCTGCTTTCAATTTGTAGTAGGTTCTGGTAGTTGTCATACTGTAAGCGTCACTAGGTGGCGGAAGTGTGCCATGGACCAGCATCTCCAATGTTAACATTAAGAACATGCCCTCCTTTACTGTCCTGTGGACACCTACTCTCTGGGACCAAATTATTCTAATTTATTCTTCAGTCACCGCATAAACTTCCTGCTTAGATGTGTTTCTGGTTTCAACTACAGAAAGGTTGATGGGTAAATTTCTTATGTAGTTGTCAACCTCAGATTACTCTTAACGTTCTTACTATTACATTGCTATTTTCTTCTAAAGATTATTTGCAGAACTTGAAATAGAAAAAAATATCCGAAATAGAAAAAAACAAACATCTAAAGCTGCTGTGTGTTTGAGAATTATGATTAGGTCATAACTCAATTAAAATTTAATCATATTCTAAAAACTGTTTCATATTAGACTTTATATATATCATCGTTTAGAAAAAAGATTTGTATGGTTAATTTGCAATAACCTGTTGACACAGTTTCACTTAATATGTATGTGCTTCTTTACATAGGAGCTGAAGTTCCTTTGGTTGGTGGCTTGAAACTTCTAGCTAGATTGTCACTTCTTACAGAACAAGACTTGTGGACTGTTAATGGGCTTCCAAATGAAAATAACTCTTCAGATCATCTGCCTTTATTGGCTAAATTCAGACTTGAGCTCTGACTCTTCTTTGATTACATTTATACTTTGCTTTTACATTTGTATTCTTTTTCAAAGAATGTAAAGTTGTTCTTAAGAGTTTGCGTGTTATTTATTTTTGCGCTATGGGATTTCTGAAGCAGTTACGCTAAACAGATGCTAAATGCTTGAAACAGATATCAGAAGAACCAAGTTTACAATTTTCTTTTTTTAATAATGAAAAGTTATTTTCCTGACAAGTGAGATCTAAATGCTCTTTATTGTAAAAGAGTTGTAAATATTTATTCTAATCTCAGTAAAATTGACAGTGATTTTTAAATGTAGTGGAGCTTCTTTAGTCCTCTTAGTAAAGAATTTCATGTTTTCAAGCTCACTGTGGATCTAAAATATCTTTTTTGAGTTCTTGCAAACCACAGCTCATTTCTCTTCTGGAAGGCCTGATTTCATTGGGAGGATTATGTTTCTTGAGTCCTAATTAGTTCATCTCAGAAATCACTGGGTTGTTAACAAATGTCCAGCCAACCATTTTAGTTTTTAAGGGGACTTGATAATGCTTTTTAAAATTGTACGGATTGCTTAATCCATCATATTACTATCCTGAGCCATGTAATATGCCTACATTTTACTGGCGAAGTATAGGTCACCATCACTAGTAGGATGAGGTGCTGTGCACAGGTCCCCTCTCCATCCTTAACGGACCATTTCAGGATGCCTAAGAGAGACAGAGACTGGGGTTGTGCTTGTGTTTCCCTAGTAATTTTTTTTCCTTTTCTGTTGTTTCAAGAAAAGATTCCCTGGATTGGGGGAGAGGTTTTATTTTACTGAAACCAGTCCTGTAGGAATTTATTTTATTAGGAAACTTGTATTTGGAGCAAAGTGGCAGCTATAAGATTATTTTTATTTTGCTTCAGAAATAAGAGGAAGCCAGCAAAACTCTAGAGGGGAGATACCAACTTGGAGACCTAATACTCTAAAGCAGTAACTTTAACTGTTTTGTGTTGCTGTGGTTTCTAAACTGTTTGATCATAATGTAGCAGTGTGACATTGTGCTGATGTTTTTTACAAAGTGGTTAAGAGCAGGTCTAAACAAATACTGCAGTTGGCCCTGTATGAGTGTTTGAATCAAAAATTTTAAAACGTAAGTGAAAATTTCCTCTTTTTTAGACACTGGGATCAAAGAATTATGTACATTTTTACCAAGTAGTACTTTTATATTGAATTATACTGAACTATAAAAATTTTTACAATGGGTTTTCTTAATAGAATGTTTCATCTTAAACTAGAAAACAGGAGTTATAGTCTTGGACTTTAAAAGGTTTTCTACTAAGGTATTTACTACAATTATTAAAAAATAAATACTTCAGATGAATACACCCAGAAGGCATGTGGGTTATAAGGATTTGTCTAATAAAAACTATAGTAATAAGTACTTTTAACTGTTTAATGTCTCACTTTTTTTGTCTTTACTTACAGTATTAACTATAGTTCTAGGATTTTCCACATTTTCTAGTGAGTTTTCAGAATATTGTGTCCTAATTAGCAGATATTGTCATCATCAAATAGTAACAGCAGACAGTACATTTATCCTCTTTTAGTACTGGGAAAAGAATAATGAAGATGCATTGATTACTACTTTGTTTTGTGTGAATTTATTAATGACTGACTTTATATGTCGATATTGATAAACTAACATCCCTAAAAAAACCTCTGTGAAAGTTTACTTTTTTTGTATTCTGATTAGTGGATTGTGGTTTTAGGCCCTCTTCACGTGCTTCACTTTGACCGAGTTAACCCTGATACTTTCCTGCTTTAGCTTGTAGAAGGGCATATTATTTTGTGTACTGGAGGCCAGAGGGTCAGGGTAACTCACAGGTTTTTAAAGCTCCACTAAAATTAACTATCTACTTGTCTTTACTTCTCTTGGTCAGAAGAGTTGGTAACTCTGTTGGAGCCTTGTACTTACCTGCCAAAAGTGATTAAATGTGGTTAATTGCTGAAACCAACTCTCCAGTCTCAAGTTCTATGCTATTCAAGTTTTCAATAAAAGGGATTTGTGGAGTAGTGAAATTTTGGTTTTACTATAGCTTTTGATACCAGTATGCATGTTTGAAATCTTGTCTTTTTTTTTTTAATTTAGCAACTGCTTTCCCAAAAAGCTAATTTAGAGATCCAGAGAATTCAAGGGGTTGGAAAAGCAGACACGTCAAGTCATTTGCACTTTGTCCCTGTAAGTTACCTAATAAATTATTGTACTGGAACATGTGTGCCTGAAGGTTCTGTGGTAGGTGTATTAAGCTGGCTTGTGGCTTCTTCTAAACTATTTCATTATCCTTTCAGCCTTTACTACTTAGAGTGATGCCAGAATATAAGTGAATTAACATATGCTCAAGTAGAGTGATGTTTAATACAGAGTCCGAAAATTGTGGACGAAGACAAGGGTGAGAGAGTGATAAATTAGTTTATAGGACAAGTATGTAATAAGAGGACAAGAAAAAAAATCACACCATTTAAATTTTTGAAGAAAAACAGTCCTTGAGTTTCCAGGATGATTTTATTAAAGTCCCATGCTGTGTATAAACATACAAGTGATGAGAAAAACATTAACTTGAAACATGCACTTATCTGGCATTCTCTAAAATACCATTATACAAGTTTTTATTTACTTAGAAAAATACCCACTAAAACAATCACAGTTTTTCTTAAAAGATGTAAAAAAAATGTATTGGCCAGAACAAAGTCCAAGAGAATAAACAAGATTCTGAATTGTCAAAAAAACTGTACAAGGTTGTACATAAAACTATAGCTTACAAAAGCCTTGGGTATAGTAAGAATACTGAATTAAGATTTCCAAAGTTCTATTTACCAGTATCTATTAATAAAATCCTTACGAAATAATTGACTTAGAAAAAGTGAAATGCTCATGATTTCAGAGTGTATAGAAAATACTAAATATCACTTTCTGAAATAAAGTGTACTCAAAACAGCACAACGTGTAGTCTAGAATCAAGATTTCTGTCATTCATTTAAACTTTGCATGTATTGCCGTAATGGCTTAAGCGTAAAATTTCTCTTGCGTTGCTAATTCTTTCAAAACTAGATTTCAAATCATTTCATCATTTTTTTTCTTCTGAATTATAGGCAGTTTTAAAATCAATTTTGGAGGAATAAATCATGTCTTTTTTTTCTGCCTTATCAATTATATTACTTAACTAGAATTTAGGAGTTCGGTGCCTTATATCTTTTAGAAATTAACATACTCCATTGGCAATAAAACTAGAATAACAACTAAGAGCATTTTAGTTTTCATGTTTCTGTGACTAACTCTTGCTTTGGGGAAATGAATCTTAAAATCAAGAAGCGAGTGTGGAAATCAGGTTACTAATTGCATCATTGAGCCAGTTGGCAGTTTTAAGGCGTATACATCAGCAAATCAGAAACAGTTTGAATTCCTGTTCTTTTCCCACCTTTTTGGTGGGAAACAAGAGGTTTGCAACTACTGACACTCTGTGTTTTAGATCAGACAGTACTTAATACTTGGAAAACCCTGTTCCAAGCTCTTAGAATGACTGCAGTGTAACAAGTGGTCTGCTTACTGGATATAGTAAAGTTTCAGGTTGATAAACAGGAGATACATCTCTTATATTTCATCTAGAAAGAGAGCTAAGTCAGTATTGTTCTAGAATGAGAATAAAATGACTCACTGACTACACCAAACATCTAAGTGCATATGGCAGTGAGGCTGCAAATAGGTTTGTGAAGATACATGAAGATAACTCATCTGAAACTCTGCTAACTGATAATACTGTTCTTAAAGTGGTTTTTAACTTATGATGTATTTTAATCTAATTGAGATGTACACGTACTTGGTCCTTTTCCTGTAAAGGACATTAGACTTCCTTTTTCAAGGAAACAGTACTTTTCTTTAATAACATTGATTTTTAGGGTAAAGTGAGTTCCAGTGCACATGGCTGAAGGATAAAGTCCTTTTGCTTTCCATGCCACTCTCAGAGGTAAAGAATCTCACTGAGCAGATTCTTATTCTTTTACTCCCTTCCCAAAGTCACCTTCAGTCAGAGAAAGCCAGAGGGGAAGCACGGAGACTGAAATAACACTTTTGTTGACTTGCAGACTTCACTTAAAGGTGCCTCTTGGGCTCCTGAGTTGGCACGATTGCTACGATCAAACAAGTGAAACAGAAGTGCACTCTTGCTGTTAATAACATAGACTTGGTATGCCGTTAGTTATTCTGCGTGGTCTGCAGCCAGGAGTTAACACTGTAACTGCCACATGCAGGCCAGATAGTCATACTGCGCTCCACGCTCCACAGACTAAATACGCTATAAGGTGTAACACTGTACTTGAAGACTTTTCCAACTTAAAAAAAAAAAAAAAGGTTCTGCTTCTCTTAGTTCATTGCATTTTCCAATACCAGTTCCACAAAGTGGTACCTAAAAGCGAGGTACTAGAAAGTAATCCCATCGTGCCGCATTTGGTCTTAATATAAGACATCAGAACACATCTCTAACAACACAGTGAGTCCTTCAGAATCACGGCCTGATTCAGAGTTTAAAAATCAGGTGAAATCTGAACAGAAAGGTTATCTGGTTCTCAAGACCTGCTGATTCATTCCTGGCTTCTCCCTTTCTGAGTATGTTATTGTCAGAGGTGATCCCAATACTGCTAAATTTATATAACAGTGCGTGACCTCTTGTGCTTTTCGCTGGAGTCTGCAAAGTTTAAATGTTAGTGACAGAACATAGACTAGCTTCTGAACGTGCTTTTTTGTTTGTTTTGTTTTGAAAGAACAAAAACTGCTCTCAGTGAGTGCTTCAAGAAAGATTAAGAAAGAAGTAACTCCAAAATCCTGAAAGTGGTTTTCCGTATTGCCAGAAGAATTTCAGTGCTTTTTTAGTAAAACACTTGCATATAATACCTTAAATCTCATTGCATGTGTGCACCAGGAAAAATTCCAAACCTTGTGGAGATCCCCATGGAAAATACTGGGGAAACAATACAAATAGAATATAAAAAACCAAAACACCAGTAAGTTTGCATATCTGATGTCAAGATGCTGAGGTAATACTGACGGCTTAAAAAAAACCCCACCAACCTTTGCCTCTGTTATTGCTGAAAAAGATGAATACTGATTGAGCTATCTTACTATATCAAAAGTGGGAGGGAGGGTTTCATGAACATTAACTACTGGCGAGGCATAATGTTCAAAGCAAGTGAAAGAAAGTAGGTAAATGGGAAAATATAAAACTACAGTTACGGTCTCATCCTTTCATCCGCAGTGAGGGAGACAGTCCACCCCCAGCGGGTTCATTACTTTGCCTTTTCATGGTTGTCCCTTCGTGTATTTTTTTAAAGTTAATTGTTACCACCCACTCAGATTCTACTTCCAAGTGAATCTTTAAAAATAAAATTCAGACGTTCTTAATAAATAATTGCAGTTCCTCCTGAAGACGCTGGGTAAAGTGCAGAGAGAAGCACCATGGAAGCCCGGTTGCTGGCTGCGCGGCTGGCCTAGATTCGGATTTGGTAGCCCACTTCATTCAGAGTGCTGAGATCAGCCACCTTCTTCTCAGGCAGCGCAGGCCTAAGGGTGAAAGGCAGAAAGGCGGTGGGGCAGAGAAAGAGCATTTAGTTCCGGCAGGGGCCCCCACCCCACCCCACCCCACCCGCCTTAGCGCCCAGCTCCACCTTGGTGCCCGGCTCCACCTCTTGTTCTTACATCCCCCTTTACAGGTTTTCAGGAACATTTTAACAGGCTTTCAACGTAGAGTTTTTTGGTTTTGTTTTTAAATTACTGGTTGCTGAATGAGTTTGTTCAACGTTAAGCTTGAATTTGGTCACCACTGTAACTTCTGAAACCCAGTATCTGTAAACCTTGCAAGGGTCTCAAAAGTTCAACTACATTAAGATTAATATCTGAGCCAGATTCTCCTAGAAACCTTGGCTTCCTAGTGTCAGTGCCCTGGGGGGAGCCTAGCACCTCAGGTGACTCAGTTTCTTGCGGAGAGATTCTCAGTCACTATTCCAGGCTTGAAGGTATATAATCAGGATGAATCTTTTATAATTCATCTAAAAAAGCATGTCAAATGTGGAAAATCTTTTCAGGGGAAAATCAACTCTCTTCCTTAAATACATTTTTTAAAGTGTTTTTCAATCTAAAACTTCACGCAAGCAGTTATGGGAAGTCATATAAGAAAGTGCTTCAAAGCGGAAGGTGTAGTTCAAGTGGTAGAGCGCATGCCTAGCATGCATGAGGTCCTGGGTTCAATCCCCAGTACCTCCTCTAAAAATAAGTAAACCTAATCACCCCCCCAAAAAAATTTAAAAAAAATAAAGTACTTCAAGCTGAGGGGAAAAAAACCACTCAGTAGTGCATCATCTGTCTTCACTAAAGACACTTCCTAGGTGACTCCCCACTATAATATTCTCATGACTTACTGCACAATTTTTCCATTTTTAAAATGACCCCCTTTTCACCTTTGATAAGAGATAACCAAGATTATAAACCAATATGTCTTGGGAGTTCTAATTCAGAAGTTTCACATATAGTCAATTTTACAAGAAGACCAAAGACATTTTTAGGTTACACATGAACCTTGTCTTAAGTGTTAAAAAGAAAAAAAAAAAGGAGAGAGCCCAAAATGAAAATATGATTGTTTAAAAGTTTCTTGAGTTACACCTTTGAAAGATTTCGTGACAACTCCAGTGGTTTTACCCTGGCATGGATGTGGTCCAGCTCATTCAGTGTTGCTAGAACCAGAAATCAACAGTCAGCTCCCACCCAGGGTGCTGCTTAGTAAAGGACACAGGCTTTTTGGCAACAAATTCTACCTCCCCTCATATTCACATTCTGTCTCCCCCTCTACCCACTCACCCTCTTGCCCCTCCTCCCTCTCTCTTTTTTCAGAGATGTCCCATTTAGTCTTCGCTACCAAAATAACTTGGAACTTTCCTTGTCTCTATTGCATGGAGCTTATGTCTCAACTTGACTGCATGCCCTGCTGTACTGGTCAGGAATCATGCCTCTCATTCTCTGTGTCTCTTCTTATGGTCCCCGGGATACACAGATGATGCTGATAAACATGGTTGACTGTGGGTAGAAGTCCCAATTCTTTCTTGCATGGGGCAATGGTGTCCACCAGCCCATACATACCCTAGAGATTAGCTGTTCCCTGTGAACACAGCCACTGCCTACAGGCCTGGCAGAGTGGCTCCCAGGGGCCATTGCAAGGACCATTCTTGACTTGATGGCTAAAGGGAGCACATTTCTGCTTGAAGATTCAAACTTCAGCTTATACTTCTGCCCTAGTCCTCGGCCAACTTAATGTGGAGAGAACTAGGGTTCTTGTAGACAAGCCAGGTTCAGAGTTCATGTGTATCTTGTTCATTTTGCCATAAGGCCTGAAATGAAGTCTGTTTTGTTTCCTTGCCTGAGGTGGTGTCATCTTTACAAATAGCTAATATGGGACTTTCTCAAGTAGACTCCCCACAAGTTAGCATCAGCCTAAGGCGAACGTGGTTAGAAAGGTAAGTCTACTTCCCCCCTCCTCAGCGTGCCCCACTTGTAGAAAATTCAGCAGCAGAAAATTCACTGGCCGAGATTTCCAGTCAAGATGGCAGAGTAGTAGGACCACGAGATCAGCTCTCAAGACAACAAAACCACAACTGCCTGCTAAACAACCATCAGAAAAAACATTCTGGAACCTAGCAAGAAAGATCTTCCTCAACTGTAAACATAAAGAGTGAACCACAGCGGGACGGCAGGAGGGGTGTGCTCGCGGTATAATTGGGCCCCAAACCCCCGGGGTGGGCAACCCACAAGCTGAAGCAGAAGTCACAGAGGCCCTCCCACAGGAGTGAGAGTTCTGAGCCCCACGTCAGGCTCCCCAGCCTGGTTCTGGCATTGGAAGGAGGGGACCCCAGAACATGTAGTTTTGAAGGCCAGTGGGGCCTACTAGGAGCAACTGTACGCCAACAAAAAGGACAACGTAGAAGAAATGGACAATTTCTTAGAAAGGTACAACTTGCCAAGACTGAATCCAGAAGAAATAGAAAATATGAATAGATCAGTGACCAGTACTGAAATCAAATCAGTAACTTAAAAACTCTCAAACAGAAGTTTGAGACAAACAGAAGTCCAAGACCAGATGGCTTCACACAGGCGAATTCTGCCAAGCATTTAGAGAAGAGGTAACACCTATCTTGAAATAATTCCAAAAAGTTGCGGAGGAAGGAACACTATCGAACTCATTCTAGGAGGCCACAAGCACCCTGATACCAAAACCAGACAAAGATATCACAAGAAAAGAAAATTACAGGCCAATATCACTTATGAATGTAGATGCAAAAATCCTCAACAAAGTATTAGCAAACCAACTCCAAAAACATATATACCAGGATCAAGCGGGATTTATCTGAGGGATGTAAGAAATTTTCAATATCCACAAATCAATCAGTGTGATGCACCACAATGACAAACTGAAGAATAAAAAACCATATGATCATCTCAATAGGTGCAGAAAAAGCTTTTGATAAAAATTCAACATCTATTTATGATAAAAACTCTCCAGAAAGTGGGCATAGAGGAAACATCCCTCAACAAAATAAAGGCCATGTATGACAAACCTAGAGCTAACATCATACTTAATGAGGAAAAGATGAGAGCATTTCTTCTAAGATCAGGAACAAGAAAAGGATACCCACTCTCACCACTTTTATTCACCATGTTTGGAAGTCCTAGCCATCATGATCAGAGAAGAAAAATAAAAGGAATCCAAATTGAAAGGAAGAAGGACAACTGTCACCGTCACTGTTTGCAGATGACATGACACCATACATAGAAAAGCCTAAAGGCACCACCACAAAACTACTGGAGCTCATCAATGAATTTGGTAAAGTCACAGGATACAAAATTAGTCTACAGAAATCCGCTGCATTTCTATACTAACAATGAAATAGCAGAAAAAGCCACTTGGGGAACTGTCCTGCTTGCACAGCTGACTGTGTTCTGCAACCACGGACAGCTTGGGAGCTTCCGAAGGAAAAGGACGAGGTTGTCTCCTTCTCTGCATCCTCACCCCGCCCACCTTCCTGGTGGGACCCAGACCTAAGGGGAGGGGAAAAAAAGGCTAATACTGGTGGAAAACGAGTTAAAATGAGATTCCCAGTGTACTACCTTTAAGGTGAAACCCTGTTCTTTCACAGCAACACTGGCTGCAACTTCCTGGCCTGGCGAAGGGCAGCAGTGGGTTATCACAGCATGCTACCTGCCCGCGGGCCCAGCCAGGAATACTGTTCTGCCCCTGCCAGCGCATCTCGGGGCCAGAGCTGGGTGAGCTGTTGTGTGTGGAGAGGCCTCTTCCAAGTGCTCCCCCAGCTATAATTAGAATATTGCAAGGGGAGTTATTTTTAAGAAACACAAGGACCAGGATGATGATTCAGCCGGGTCTGCACTTGCCCAGAATGTCACATCAGATCCAGGGCTATTATTTTAAACTAAACAATACATTTCTCCAAACTCCTCCCAGTCCAAACAAGGAAAAGAAACCAAAGGATTCTCCTGAAAGGCTCTCAGCCGCCTTCTATTTTAGGAGAGGCAGGGGAGGGACTTCAGGTTTCCCCTGAAGCACTTGGTGGAAAGAAAGAGGGAGCCCCTCTTGCTGCGCACAAACGGATAACCCCAGCCTCATCTGTTGCCCCGTCAACGTGTCCAGGGTGAACTCAGGTGACTGCCTGACGGCCTGGTCCCAAGTCCATGCTTAGCCCCACCCTCAGGCCTGCAGCCCTGGCGGCAGCGGCAGCAGAGCCGTTCAGAGGGGGAGGTAGGTGGGGGGACGAGGATGGCTCCAGAGAGAAGGTATTCTCTGCTAGGATTCGCCACTGCTACCTACACCTTGACGGTTCGGCAAGAGTGAACCATCTCCCACGTGGGCCAGGCGGCACAAAGAGTCTTTCATTCACCCCAAGGCAGCCTCAGGGCCGAGGAAGAGCTCAGTGGGATTGGACGCTGGCATCAGTGAAGCCACAAGAAGCCTCAGAGCCAGAAAATGATGGCAGCATGTTGGGGACTGAAGTGGGGCCGAGCATCAAGTTGATGTGTGAGGCTAGGGTTCAGAGAAAAAGCAGGAAGCGGCAGAAAAGCCTGTAGGTTTCCCCCAAACCAGCCAGTCCCTTTTCTGTCCCTCGGACGCAGGGCTGTGTCAGGACACCTCCTCTCCTCACTTCTCAGCACCCCCACCCCCGAAGCTGCCGTTGGGCAGGCCCGGCCGGAGGGCCCGAGCAGTAGCCGGAGAGCCGACCTCCCGAACCCTGCTCGCTCCTTACTCACTCACACCTGGGCCAAGTACCTTGTAAGTCTTGGGGTTACCAGGACAGTGGCAGCCCAGTGGAGCCAAAATCCATTCCCCTTCTTCCAATGGAAATTCACCTCCTGTTTCTCCCCGACGAGTGTGAGATACTTCAGGGACACAGCCCACCTACGTCCAGCTCAGGGCTGCCTGGTGGGGACGCACAGGCCATCAGTCAGGCAACTCATGCTTCTTGCTCCTGTCTCCCCTGAGGTCACGACCCCTCCAGGTCGGGGTG